ATGTGTTTGTGTGTGTGTGTGTGTGTGTGTGTGTGTGTGTGTGTGTGTGTGTGTGTGTGTGTGTGTGTGTGTGTGTGTGTGTGTGTGTGTGTGTGTGCGCAGCATTGAAACAATGCTGGTGAAAATATATTTTAAAATCCCAATGAGAAAATTTAAATGCCACCAGTCAATGAAAATTAAAAGAACACTAGCAGGCATTTCTAGCAGTTTAACAATGCCTTTCTAGACACTGTCACAGAGGAAGACAATTTCAAGTCAACTGCAGAATACTGAAAGAGGTAAACGGACATAACTCAATGCGAATGCAATTCGAGAGTAGTACAAACCTAGCTAAGGTGCAACTCAACATTTGATAGTTAAAAGTGTGGCAAATTACTATGTAATAAATGTGACATAAGCAACATCACAACAACCACAATGAAAAAAATATTCAAGTAAATCTATCTGTGTGGTTTGTTTTCCTGTTTCATTTTCCCAACACTCTCTTTTCATGATGGAGCAGAAAGCATGCCAAAGAACTCTGGAATCATAGTAGTGATTTGCTTGGTAGTTGGACTGCAGTCTAAGAGCTGGGCAGGAATGAAGTGTGCGGCTTATGATTTGAAGCCTGCTTATATGACTTGAAGATGCCCACAAGGCTCCTTCAATCCACAGCAATGGTCCAAATCCTGTTGCTTAGCATAGTAAATCACACCACAGTAGGCTCATTGAATCAGTGGGGATTTGGTGAGCCAATTCTTCCATAAGTTTCATTGATTCAAATGGGGCAATTCTGAATCAATGGAATTTATGGAAGAATTGACTCACCAAATCCCCACTGATTCAATGGGCCTACTGTGATGCGATTTACTATTTTGGCCACTATTTCAGAAAAGATTAGTTAATTTTTGTCCATGTATTATGTTTTTGAGATAATAGAGTCTATGATGACTGGAGGTTTTTCTCCAGATCAGTGACATGGAATGGGATAAAAATAATTTCTAATAAGCATCTTAGAATGGCAGGGCTGGAAGGGACCCTATGGATTATCGAGTCCAGTCTCTGTCAAGGAAACACAGTGGGCAATTGAACCCCCAACCTCTGCAGCTCTGCAGCTTAAGCACTGAGTTATGTGGCTCCCAAGACTTTTGTCTTCCCTTCTCTGCACCTATAGAAACCATGCTGCTGAATTTCCGCAGCAGCTGGTGGAAACAAAAACATTTATTGCAAATATTTCACATGCTTTAAATGTCTTCTGTCAGGTTATTACAGAAATTTGGCATAGACAGGTTTAGTGCCATTTAAAGCAAGCAAATGATTCCTTTAATCTCAATATTCGGCAGATCGTCTTCTCCCACCCAGATCTACCCGGATCACCCGTCATAGCCAGCAGGGACGGCTGAGGGGTCTGATGCCGAGGGAGGCCCAGAAGGAAAAAACAAGAAATCGGGCCTTCTCGGCTGTGGCCCCTCGGCTGTGGAACACCCTCCCTACCGAAATTTGGATGGCACCCTCGCTGGGCATTTTCAAAAGCCAGCTGAAAACTTGGCTATTCAAGCAGGCCTTCCCTTCAGTCAATTAGGTCATTCTTATTTCTTATTTCTCTTCTTTTGATTTTTGCCATCTTGGGACTGTTTGCCTTAAATTAATTCGTTAAAATCGTAAATCT